GAATACATTTGCCATGGAGACCAAGCAAATTGCAGAGTGCCGTCTGACCATGTCATGGAGAAGATGATCTTCTTACGAATGCTGAGGAGGGTGTGTGCAGCAAATGCACGCACAGATCAACCAATTTGGCCAATGAGTTTCACCATGGGCAATTGTGGCGATGCTCATCAGCTCGGTCTCTTGTTTCGCCCCCCGGCGTCACACCAAACGATGGTTCGATCGGATTTGTCTGATTTTATGGGCCCTAGAAGGCCCACCGTTTCAAATACACCGTGATCTGGGAGGGTTCGTGTCTACCCAGACGCTCCAAACAGCTCTTGGTACCTCAAAACCCTAGGGATTTGAGACCCCAGACCCCTCCATATGAGGGTCCGACCCCTCCATATGAGGGCCCATGAGCGTCTGGGTACATTCTATCGGGGCCAGCTTTTTGAAAGGCATTTCTAGTTAGGAACAGCGGACCAAACTCATTGGGTGAGTTTCGGATATCCTATATGCTGTGCATGAACATGGAAGTTCAAGCAATGGGACTGGCATATACCTGGACCTTCCCACAACAAGGACCTGCCGAACTGCATCTGTAAAACCAGCCAAGTTCGGCTATATGATGCATCTATTCCATATACAAGGTAAGCGTAGCCGGGCTGTGTGGGAAAAACCACCCGCTGGCGCCATGTCTGCCCCTCGATAGGGATCCAGTCGTACTGATGATGTGCTCGACACTGAGAGGGTGACATGTTCGACACTGTTATGTACGTGCCCAAACGTCGGGTCCAGCCGTACCGAACCTGAGGTTCGGTACGACATGGATCCCTAGGCTCTAGGGATCCAAGTACCTTCTAAGAAACCTCACAAGGTGGTTAGACCCCCCAAACCCACCCCAACCACCTTCTCAGGAGCTAGTTGGAGCCTAGGGAAAGTACGACTGGATCCCTAGAGGGTAGGGATCTCTGCCGGTCCTATGACGCGTGCTGAGTGGACCGAAACGCGCTGGAGGGAGCAACGGAGCATCTTTTTCGGAGCTCGCTTCATTTAGCGTTGTGTAATCATCAGGCCCTTCGCAGAAAGGCATACTTTTTGGAAAATGTTTGCTGAAATACAGTTCGATCATGTTCGATCATCATTGATCTTGGTGATGGAGCTCCAGTGGCAAAACCAGCACCCAAAATGAGCGCAACGCGATGAACAACACATGGAAAACAAGGCTGCCTGGCTGGGTCTTGAGTCTACCTGCTTGGAAGCCTTATGAAGCCTTCAAGAAGCTTTTCTTTCTGCATAATCAAATCAAGCCCCGATCAGCCCAAAAAGGAGGTGAACACGCAATCAAAGATCAAAGTTGAACCCCCACAGGGACAGGGACCCCTTTCACACCGAATGCCGTAAGTCGAACATAAACATCATTGACAAACAATAAACATCAACGATGTCGATGCTGGTGTCATTATAATGCACCCAAGTTGAAGCCAGTCGAAACCCTAGCCTTCAAACAAAACGTTGAACATAGGTTGAGCTGGTTTTGTGGTGTAATCCGTCGGGCATTCCATCCTCCTGGCGGGCCAGGAATCCTCGGGAAGAACTCTGGGAAGGGACTCGAACATCCAAAGAAACCGTGTCTTTTCTCGAGTTTCACGGGAGAAACGATCCCGAACAATCCAACGTCATGTAGACTGTGACTCTTGATTAATGAAAACCACCCATTTGGATTGAATCTTGGTTTTATAAATCAAGAGTCATGATGGAATGTTTCCATCACCAGTCGCAACGCGGGACGGCCACAAACCACCAGTCGCATAATGGATTGAAACCTCGGCTTTTGGCAAAGCACCGAAGTCCGGCGTCACCGTCACAACCAGTCCGAAGATTTCGCACAGGCCGCTGGAATGGGCACCTTCCACCCCCGGTTTAGCGTCTTGAACGCCCAAAGCTACTGACCCAAAAAGCCAAGCTGGGCCGGCTATGCCGTGAAAACAAGACATTGCGGCAAGCCAACGAAAAGCTACAACCACACCCAGCTCCCAACCAAAAATACCAGTCTTTACCAGAACCATCCTGTTTGGGTGTGGACTACCAGACTACCCTACATGACTTAGAGGTCTCCAGGCAGGGCACCAGTCAGGACACCGGATGGGACCGATGGGTGCTTTCGGATGCGTCTCGGTCTCTCGTCATAGGTCCACGGACCGGAGGTGCACCGGAGCTCCATCATGAAACATGAATTACTCAAACTCAAATGACGTTCACCCCAAACGCTCCGTGAAAAACAGCTCGACTGGTACCGAACCAAACCCTAGGGATTGGTGAGCAACCCGTTCGACCCTTCGAGAGGATTCGGGTCCGACCCCTACCAACAAATTGAGTCTGGGAGAAACTGACTGTCTGGAGCAAAAAAACGGTCCTAATTCTGATGAGTCTGGAGTTAACTTGACTCAAGGTACAAACTGGAGTCTGAACGTCAAATGATGAGTCTGGGCAGCGACGTTCCTAGACTCCCCGAGACTGTTCAGGAAGAATGTTCTTCCATACATGAGACCATTTCCGGTCATCTATCTCTGGCACGCCTGGCATGGTGTGTTCGGGGAGCTCGGCCGAAGCGCAGCACAAAGAGCAAGGGTGGCAAGGCCGGGAAAAACTTGGCATCAAATCCTTTATGACCCCCTGAGTTTGCGCAACATGTGCAAGTGAACCTCTCTCCAGCTGCTCCTCTTGATGTTTTGGAAACCAATCCCCCTAAAAGGGTGAATGGCTATCCACTTTTCCTGGGTAGGCTTTGGACCTACATGAAGAGTCATGAAATGTGAGGAAATACAGGAGGCTTCCGCCGCTCTATCGAGTGCCTGAGGAAGATGCTTGAGTGAGTGCAAAGGAAGGTACGTATACAGGTTTCTTCCAAGGGGAACGCCACAAGTGTGACTATAGTAGTTTTTCTAGCTACTATAGTATAGCTTCTTGTTACTAGTAGCGATGGCCTCCACCTAGTAGCTTCTAGCTAGTGGTAATGCCCTAGTAGCTTCTATAGTAGTTTCTATAGCTGCCTTTTCGGTGTGTTGGAGTCTTTCGACCATGCCGCCGCTTTCGTTTGGAGGTTCGCCCCCGATCTCTGATTCTTCCGATGGCAGTCCTGTTCGCGTTTGTTCTGAAGCCATGCACAAACCTGAAATCTCTGATGCATCCTGGTTCCATGACGTGTACTGTTGCATCTTTTACTCAGCTAAATGTAGATCTGACACCAAGTGCACTCGCCTGACGAAGCCCGCAAAAAGGGACGTGGGGGGCTTCTGCCCGAAAGGAATCGTTTCCCACTAAGGACTCAAGTCCCAAGTGGTTTCAGAGTAGATGTCACTGGTGCCGTGCCAATCAACCGAACGGCTACAGTGATCATCTCGACCGCTGTGTTTCATAGTGTTTCCAGCGAAGTTCGGTCAAGTTCGGAAGATTCAGGTACCCGAAGGGGTTCCTGTCCCGCCCCATCTCCTGACCGGTGACCGGTAGTATGAAAGACCCCCCAAGACGTACCCCAAGCATCGAAACGGAGGTGGGGTGGGCCAGGAGCAACCAGGGCGACGCCCCCCGCGGTCCGCCGCATCTCCCCCAACGGCGGCCGGGTCTCGGGGTGCGGAGAAAAACCCTTATGTTCGATGGGCCCGGAGTCGTGTTTTGGCCCCCATGAAGTGCCAAAGACTAGTGACTCTATCGGTTTTCTATCCTCCGACAATGAGAAACCTTAGTCAAAGGAAATCCGCAAATATAGCCGTATGTTTGTTTATAAATTGAAGCTGGGGCATTTTGCAGAGGAAAAGGTTTTGCATGTAATTCAGGACTCATGGGCCTGGGTGATCTTTTTCTTCGCGAAGTAGAGAGAACTTCCCTTAAAATCAAAGCATTCTGCCCAGATGTTCCAAACAGCTCTTGGTACCTCAAAAGCCTAGGGATTGGCGAGAAACCCCACACCCCTCCAGAGGATTCGGGTCCGACCCCTCCATATGAGGTCGCGTCTGCGTGGGTCAAAACTTTGGAATCCCAAGGTCACGCTATTTTCAGTCCCATCGCTCAGGTCACGATGGGACCGGGACCTTCGCTTCTCGAATCCCGAGGCGAACAAGGTCACCCACCCTTGATTTCATTGCACTCGATGAAGGAAGTCTAACCCGTTCGGGATCCAGTTGTACCGGTACCTCAGGTTCGGTACCACTGGACCCTCCAGGCAACTGCATGACAGTGTCTCCTTTTTCACCTTCTGAACGAACGGTAACCGAACGGGTAACATGATCCAGGAACACCGAACTCTTTTCAGGGTCGAACGGGTGACGTCAGCTCATCTTCATCACTCCCTAAGGATTCAGTCGTACCCTCTGAGGTTCGGTGGGACTGGGGGGGGTTGGAGGGTCCAGTCGTACCGAACTTGAGGAGGTACGACTGGATCGCGAACGGGACTCAGGTCTAGGCTTTGCCCCACACCCCTTCGGCCTCTCAAGGCTGTTCATATCTATCCAGGGTAGCAGGTATAAAACAGGTACGACTGCACCCATTTTCTGAAGTACTTTGAGTCTCCAGGTAGGTTGGAATCGCTTCTAGGTTCTAGGCCATGGCTTCTAGGTTGGAAGCCATGGCTTCTAGGTTGGAGGCCATTCCTCTTGGGTGCAACTAATTATAGTGCATGTTTCTTCTTTTTTTTATCAGGTCCAGGTACATGAGAGCTCACAAACCTGTAGGGCCTCAATGACTTAATGATATACTGACCCGAGGATTCCAACAACCATTGATTGAATGGTCTGAATCCCAAAGGACGTTTTACGGATCTTACACTACAAAACCAGGTCAACCACGGAAAAAAATAACAAAACACCTTTGCGTTTGAAGGCTCGGGCTGATGTAGGTCCTATATTTTCCGGGTTACATCCACCGGATTCCCCACCGAAATGAGCCATCACTGAGAGGGTGATGGACGAAGCATCACCTTTTGGGGGGGGCATGTATTTGGCTGCCTTTGCTGCATCTGTTGACCCCAAACCCCGCGTTTCTTCGCGCGTCTCGTGATTCCTTCCGGAACAGATGTATCAAGCGATTGCAGCAATCACTTTGAGGTCAAACATTAACGACACGACCTCCACGTGGTTGCATCCAATGCGGAAGAGTCCGGGCCCAACAGCCTAGACTTTCGTCCGCACGAACGACACAGTGCCATCTCAGAGTGCATGACTGACCACAGCAGCTGGAGGCATGCCCTCCTGCAGCTGAGAGAGGGTGGAGTACAAATCCCGTTTGGTCGCGACATATCTTATAGGGATGGTGCAAGGGATCTGCAAGGGATCACATGAGAAGGGCCAAACAATGTTGCCTCCTCTGCCTGAGTTGATCCTTGCAGCATTGAACACGGTTGCGCGCAGCCTAGGCCGCAGCACCTTCCTATAGAGGTTGCACATAGACTACCCGTCAAGTGAACTCACATCCATCTGCTGTAAACGTTGGACACCTTGACCCAATCCAACTCACTGTCGTCCTTCTGCTCTTCGAGCTCTGGGACCATAAGTTCAACTTGATTGCCTGTAGCAATCAGGGGGGGGCCAACATGGCCCCTGAACAACAGCAAAACACCACCCAAACACGAGCTGCCTGGCACGGGCATATTTACATGACTATGACCCCTAAAATAGACCTCAACTGATCGGTCAATATGCCAGTCCCATTCCCTAGGGTTCCTGGCCCATATCCTCAGGTTCGGTGGTTAGACCCCCCTGGCACCCACCCCAACCACCGAACCTCAGGAGCTAGGCCAGGAGCCCTAGGGATTCGTCGCTTTTGGGCAAGAGAAAATTTGCCTCGAAGGATCCCAGTAAAGGGCGATTTCGAAGAAGGCACGCCACATGTCTTAACGCCACATGTCGTGACAAACGCTGCTGACACGATGTGCAAGTCGGCACAACGGCAGAAATAATCGTTCTGGCATCAAATCTGGCATGTGTTCTGGCACGTCATCTAGCATAAAGGCTGGGAAATGTTCTGAAATGTGTTGACGCCCTCTTTGGCATGTGCTCTGACATTTGTCCTGCCACGAAGTCTGACATGTGTTCAAATGGTTCTGTTCTGGCACCTGCTCTGCCATCACATCTGACAATTGTTCTGCCCAAACGCTCATGGGCACCCTCATATGGAGGGGTCTGGGGTCTCAAATCCCTAGGGTTTTGAGGTGCCAAGAGCTGTTTGGAGCGTCTGGGTGGCATGTATTCTGACATCTGTTCTGACATTTGTGCTGGCATCAGGTATGGCATGCGTTCTGACTGACTGTGAACATGCCCAGCAGTCACGCACAAACCATTGGTGCCTACTGATATATACATCTCTCTTGGCAGCAACTCTGTCGGTACGCTTGCTGACGTAAATGTTGAGTTTTACTATAAGATATATCTGCCTGTCATGGGTCCAGGCGCCTTTGTCCGTGCTTGGGCGTTCTTGCCCCCGGTACGCGTTCTTGTCCCCTCTACAGGGGTTCTTGTGTTTGTGGTGGCAATGCTCAAAACAATAAGGATATAAGGACCCACCCAGCACTGGTTCCAGGCATTTGTTTATCAGGAATTCACTTGACTTGTCACGTGTGCATGATTTTTGGCTTCTATCCTTTGCTTTATTGTTTTAACATATGTTGTGCAGGTGTTCTTCCCGTCGCTTAGGCGTTCTTACCCGTTCCCCCCTCACTACAATCACTAGTTGGGTGGACAAAGGAATGGTAATGCATTGGCTTTTCTTGACCCTCGAGCGCTTTCTGCCTACATGAAGTTGGGCGGAAATTAGTGACTATAACAAGATTTTATGTGTATAACTAGGTATGATATAATGTATATACGATGTACATAATTAAATGTGTATATCTGTAACAGTCTGACAGATAATCTGCAATGTTTATCTGACATCTGCATGTCATTTTGAAGAAGTCCAGCGCCCAACGCAGCCAACAGAGCGCAACACAGTGGAACTGCAAGAGGAAGGGGAGCGAGAAGGAGAAGTTTGCACTTTCTCAAAATACGGCAGGTGGGGAACAACAAAAACTACTCCCTTAAACTCACTGAAAAACTTTGGGAACATAACATAAACTGGACCTGCGGAAAAATGGCTAAGAACAAAGCAGTTGTCAGGAACAAGCAAATGGGAAAAGAAACACATGGAAAAACAACCCCAGAAAGAAAACATTAACAACTGGCACCAAGAAGCACATTACAAAGCGTAAACTGTACGAACGTTGCGCAGTCTACTAACCGACACATACCGAAACAACTGAACAGATTTCACGGGGCGACATTCGGCTTAGCATCAACTCGTCCAAGCCCCACATCTGCAAGGAACACGTCCCGGACAGCAGCACACAGCCGCAGGAACATGACAAGGGTCATGGAAACAAGACACGCCCCCAGAACAAATCAGAAGCTTGCAAGCATCCAAATAAATACAGCTAATGGAGAGTAGATGGCACCATCCCCAAGATTTCCCATCTTAAAAACATTAGTTTAGTTTTATATTACATTTACGGGTTTGTGCCATCTACTCTCTGAATCCGCTGCAAAATGTTGATGGTCGTTAGATTGGAAGAGCTTGTACAAGGCGGACGTCAAAGCATCATGAAAGCATGCGCAACTAGTCTTGTTGGCATTCACTGGCCCCTCCACATTTCAAGCAAATCCCATTGGAATGGCGCCCAAGAATGATGGAGACTGAACCGATGATGTCCTTTTGGATATAGAGTGGATCGTTTTGGGCCATATTCCTCTTGGTTGTTCATCACCGAGGGTATCCCGCTATCCCCTCTTTTCAGCAGCCAAACAACAGTTAAAGGGTCATCTATGGACTAGACCTGATGCTGGTCGCCGACGTGTGACTTGCGCAAGCTTGCGAACTGAAGTAAATCAGGTTGCCACCATTGAGCGGAATGTAAGGTACCTCGCAAGAATTCCAGTTGTTCCGTTTTTTCAGATCTACTTTGTCCTTACCTTTTGTGTCTTTTATCTTTACTGCATTTCTTGAGATCCTTGAAGTGCCTCTTTTGTTTGCTTCTCTTTGCTTGCTGTTTTGCTGTTCGTTTTATCTGATGTTTCTTTGCTTTGTATGTTTTTCTTTGTTGCGCGAACCGGTTTCTGCACTTGTTTTCAGCTCTTTGTCCGAGCTTGGCGCACGAGCTTCGAGAATCTATATCTTGATCAAACCATGGTTTTGGCGTGCTATTCTACAGCCCTATGGATCCACTTACCTTCTCAGGTTCGGTCTGTGGGCTCTCCTGGCGCCTACATCAATAGTCTCCTTCCTCACCATACCTCAGGTTCGGTCTGTGGATCCATAGGGCAGGTGCAGAAGCCCTCAAGGGGCTCAGCAACGGTCCTTCTCAGTGATCCCTCTCCGCAGAGAGCGCAAGCGCGTACTCCATGCAGCTACGACCGCATGAGCGACCGCGTGTAGCGACCCACCACGTGGGAGATAGTGAGCGTGAGCGACTGCGTGGGGTGCAAACGGTGTGTTTCTCTTATTGTCCTGAGAACTAGGATTTGCTTCAGGAACCTGGAAACACATGCGTCCGCAGAACAGGATTGGACCATGGGGAAATTTTATTATATAAGAACACATGTGCTAAGAATCATTGGACCCTCCGAACTGGAGGCTTTTGACCCGACCACAGGTCTCGCAAACAACCCCGACAGGACCCGAGGGTACACACCGAACCACCGAAAGGGTCGGGTCCTTGGTTCTTGTCAAAACCCAGAGAATCCAGGCCTGAACATGGGAGGTCCCGGTGTTTCTTTCTTCGGGTGCGGAGTTCCGGAACACGATCTTCTCGAAGTTCCAGAGACTCGCTGGGTGCCATAGCGCTAGTCATGTAGGCTGTAGACTCTTCCCTGGCTTTCAAAGAAAAGAACGGTTGAGCTGGTGGTGTAGTGTAAAAATCCTTAGTAAAACAATGGTTCTTCGGGATTCAGACCATTAAAACTAATGGTTGTTTGAATCCTAGTGATCTTGTTGTAGGTTTACAAGAGCCCACTCATCATTTGGACTGTAGACCCTCTTCAGGCTTGGATATGAAATGACCAGTGTTACATGACTTCAAACCAAAGCCCGCCTATGACATGTTTGACAGAGGAGAGAGAAATACTCAGCGCCACCTCCGCCTTGTGATCTAAACCTCGCTCGCCACCCACGTCCACGCCCATGCCCACCTTCCAGTTCCCCAGAGAAAGTTGGGTCATCGGTGTCGTCCGCTGGCGGCCTGGGTGCATCTTCTCCTGGGTGAGGTCCGGAAAACGCCACGGACGGTCCAGCGGAGGTTCCGATGGCTTGGGGAGGCCATCGGCGGGAACCTCCATGTTCAGTAACCCTTACTATCTCAAAGCATCCATGGAATATTGACCCGATTTACGATCCACCCAAATGAAAGGAAATGCCATGAAGTTCCTGTCACTTCAACAATTGAAAACAAGCTCCCAGCCCCCAGCCTATTTCTATACTACACGAACACTTCAAGTTCTCAGGTACGGTGATGTGTTCATGTAGGTGGTCTTGGAGGGTCTAGTCGTACCGAACCTGAGGTACGGTACGACTGATTTTTGTCGTGGGACAAAAATGGATTCCCAGCTTCAGGGAATTCATCACCCGGTTCCGGGAATATCAACCTCAGTTGAACAGTGTGGGCTCTTCTATTCTTGTTTAGCCTACGCCATTGGCTACGCAATGCCTATGCCACCACACCTCCAGCTTACGCGGGCTGCAAGTTCCAAGTTATGCCTACGCCAAGTCAATGCCCGTGAAAGAAGCACACATCGAACTGCAAAACACCTATGGGGCCACAGTCAAAGCAAGGTTTGGGCACCCCAAGACTTACACATCTGCGCGACCACACCCCGGCAAGATGGAGCACCTTCCAACAGGTCTCCTCTGGAGGCTGTTGTAGACTTAAAGGTCGCAGGTGGTGACCTGTTGGAAGGTCCTGGTAGGTAAGTGAGTGAGCTCTTCTACCAAAGGGCTCCACACCCCTGAAAGGCGCAACCCTGTTGACTGCGGTTAGCATGTGGCTGGCAGGCTGCTAAAGGCTAGCAGGGACTCAACCACCCAGTTGATTTTGGGCAACACCACGAACACACTTCAGTTATCTTCAGTTCCTACTGCAGGCGCTGGCAAGTAATTTTTGCAGTCGCAGGGCCAGTGGTCAGATTTGGTCCCGCTTATGCGAGCCTTAGGCGAAGTCTAAGCGAAGCCTACGCCACACCTGGCGACGGGGGTGTCCGAAGTATCCTCTGTTACAGTCTGCCCTTTCTGCTCCACTACCATGCTTCGCAACTTTTGGACCGGGCCAGGCATCCTACGCAACTACATGGTGCCTACGCAACTGCCAACAAAAACTGAAAGTCCAAAAATGCTAAGCCGCACACTCGACACCAACCACGCAAACCCCTACTCGAAGCGTTGGGCTTTAAATAACCAGGAGCAACACAACGATAGAAAAAAGACGACCTTTTTCCGAAAACCCGTGTTTTGGCATACAAGACAGCGAAAACCCAACTGTTCAATGAAAACACGTTTCTCAATATTCAGAACCCGTTTTTTATTCCGTGCAAAATCCGGAACTTGCCAGAAAAAAAACACCGTCTGTTGTGAATGGTTTTTGAGAAAGTTTTAGTTACAAAAACTGAGTTGTTCTTTTAAATTAAGACCCTATATATACATTTTCTATAGGTTTTGCATGGTCTTGGAATAACTAAACCTATTACAAGAAATTGTTGCTCGGTTCGGCCCGACATGCCCGGCGAAAAGGAGGCACCGCTGGATCCCACCGCTGGAAACCTGCCGGTTTGAGGGCGGCCGCATGGCGTAGCTCTTCGCACGAAGCCCGCGCCAAACATCAAAAGCAAACCCATACACTCCATGGGACTGCCATATATATATATATGCCTTCCTATCGAACGCAAAACCAGGTCAACAGATTTTAACATGCTGGGGTAGACTATATCCCATACACTCCATGGGACTGCCATATATGCCTACATTGACCCCCCTGGCACCACCCCAACTGATCAACTGATCAGCATATATGGCAGTCCCATGGAGTCTATGGGAAGAAAACAGATCATTCTTTTGGGGATTCCAACGATGATTGAACCTGGTCGAACGGAAGCCTATAGGGTCGGGAGTTCTGGATTTCAGGTTTCTGGGAGTGCCTCCACCTCGTCCGACCTGTCCGGCATGACGGATGATCTTCTGCCCAGGTTCCGAGCGGTTTGTCCTTGTCGAGGTCGTCGAGGTCTTCTATGGAGGCGCTGGAGCAAATGCGCCGCCCGGACAACGTCTGGCGGCACTTCTCGCTCGGATTGACGTTCCACGCCTCGTGGAGCCTCGGCGCGTGACGTCACGCCGCGGAGGGGAAGAAGGACGTCGCGCCGCGGGGGTGGTCGTGCCAGGAGTCACATGGAGTTGGGTGGTGTGGTTTGTCCCATCCAGGGGCCGTGGATGTGACAAGGGCAACTCCTAAGCTCAATCGCACCCCGTCGTTTGTGGCTGCTGGTGCTTCTTTGTTGATGAGAATTTGCGTTGCCCCCCAGATTGACTCACGACCAACAGCGGCTGAAGGACCCGAACGTTCGACCAATGATCTCAATAGGTGCCTCACTAGGCTTATAGGGTTCTATAAGGTCATTTCACCTCTCTTGGAGAACCTTGGAAGAGTCTGGTACTTGGATCCCTAGGAAAACACAATGCAGTGCTAAAAGGACAACATACATTTACACACAGATTGATGCTCGCAAGAGCTAAATCAGTTGAAGAAGTTCCACTTTACTGCAGGTAGACCTTTACACGCAATTAGACCTTGGCTGAGGGAACGGAAAGGCGAAGGAGTCCGAAAACCAGAATTGTTGAACATCGCCCATTAGCCCCTTAAAAAATGCAGGTACGTCGACAGGACGTCTCCCGTCGATATCATAAGCAAGAGATAGGTGTCTTCGTTGGAACCTGCCCTATCTCTGCTTCAGGTGCCCCCTGCCTCTGTTTCTCAAATGTTTTAAAACTTACAGTGTGTCAAAGCCTTAGAAACAGGCATTGACACACACACACACCTACACCAGGCCGACACCGGCGCTCAAGAGGTTTAGTAGTCACCTAACATGCCTTAAAAGAAAGAAAGAAGAAAGAAAGAAAGAAAGAAATAATGAAAGAAAGAAAGAAAGAAAGACATAAATAAAGAAAGAAAAGAAAGAAAGGGAAAAGTCAAAAAGAGAAGACGAAGAGGGCAAGAGAGAAAGATAGGTGTAGTGACGAGGCCCACTAATAACGAAACCTCTAGTTACTGACTACTTAGCCGCGTGAATTATAAGTGCAATAGTTAGCGAGCGGGACTTTAGTCTTAGACCACCCAGGTAGGAAAGACTAGGACAGGAGAAACAGAAGGAAAGGCACCAACACACAAGTGTGTTGAGTGCGACTACCGCATGCAAGGATGGGGTGGGGGCTCTAAGGCATTGCCGTAACCGGCGCTCCCTTGACTAAAAGGCTACTAAAACGAAAGGCCTCAAGAAAACGGAAAGCAACAGCAGGAGAGAAAAAGAAAAAAACAACAGATATTGGTCCTGTACTCACGCTCCTCACGTTGCTCAATCTCCTCACGCTCGACCGGTGAAGCACTCTTACTCCTCTCCGCTGCTGCTCTTTCGACCTTTTACACTCTCTTGAAGTCCCTGAACATGTCTAAGTCAGTTTCGTTTGTCTAAAGACGCGCATGATCATGTGGTGACTGGTGACTTTCAGTAGTTGGACCACGACCCCCGGTAGGCTGTGTGTTTTTCTTGCGATTTTTACTTGTTCGACGTTTTTTGCATCCCAGCTCCAGGTCTTCGTTGCATTGCGCAACAATAAACATATCTCAGACTGCACATAACATGATGCTAGCTCCTCGAATGTGAATTGAAGTCACCAAATGTTTGCTACGTTGCACTCGAAATTGTACCCTCGAGTGGCGAATTTCCACGTTTTTGCCATTCGCCAAGTTGATGCTACGTTGGGTATGGATTGGAAATTCTCTGATGTCTGTAAACTTGCTTACTTGCAACAACAACAACCCGTACGACATGGACAGTTGCTGACGGTCAGAGCTGCAAATTGTTGGGGTGGGGGGTGGGGGGTGGGTGGGGCCAACACAATGACGTCGGTCTACATTGTCGGCCAACATAATGACGTTGGTGGGGCCAACATACTGAACGAGCTGTGCAAAGTCGCTAAGCAGAGCCGGTGAGTGCAAAACAAGTAACGTGGAATTTGCAGTTGCATCTTTGAAAATGATAGTGGCGCTACAGCGCCGTGCGCATGTTCAATTAGACGGTCCTCACGAAACGCCACGGCCTACCGGGGGTCGTGCACCTACTTTCAGTAGTTCGATCTCAGTAGGCCCTGCGGCATTGATCAGCAATCTCAAGCAGAACGAAACGAGCCAGTGGCAGTGGGAATCCAAAAGAAGTTCTTGAGAGAAGGGCGGAAGAAAGTCAGTGGGAATCCTGCACATGCTGCGCCCCTCGATGGGGATCACACCACAGCCCTCAGTGGGACTCTGTGGCCACACACACTTAGATTGATGCTCGCAAGAGCTAAATCAGTTGAAGAAGTTCCACTTTACTGCAGGTAGACCTTTACACGCAATTAAACCTTGGCTGAGGGAACGGAAAGGCGAAGGAGTCCGAAAACCAGAATTGTTGAATATCGCCCATTAGCCCCTTATAAATGCAGGTACGTCGACAGGACGTCTCCCGTCGATATCATAAGCAAGAGATAGGTGTCTTCGTTGGAACCTGCCCTATCTCTGCTTCAGGTGCCCCCTGCCTGTTTCTCAAATGTTTTAAAACTTACTGTGTGTATCCTTAGAAACAGGCATTGACACACACACACACACACCGGGAAGTAACCACAACACACAACGCCTGACAACACACAGGAAAACACAATCTACAGCAAATGGCAAACCATGACATACTTAAGCAACAGCTCGATGAAAGCGGGATCCAATGAGATACCGGTCATGCGTTAGCAGTCGCTAGCCCTTGGCTGTAGACCGCTGTAGACCTTGGCTGGAAAACCGTAAGGTGACTATATGGATTGCTTGGCCTGGGTGAAAGGAAATTGGACGAGCAGATATGTCAGGGTGATCAGCTCTGATCTCCTCCCAAGCTGAGCTTCATTGGCATACTGCCCTGGCAAAATCGAATATGCGTCGAATTGAACCGGGTGCGACACACAAACACACACACACACATACACAAATATTATATATTGTATGGGCACAAGGGCAACGCCCGACATCACCACAGCACATGTTTGTCATGGACCCTCATGGATCTGAGTGAGGGACTAAGTGACTACCGGTTTCAACTCACTTGCAAAAAGATTAGTCGGGGTCAATCATTCCAAGTAAAGGTTAAACATCAAAAAGCTCCGAAACCACCGACCAAGCTAAAGCCAACCTCACAGGGATCCTGCCCAAGAAACGCTTGGATTGCCAGTTTCACACTGTGAAGGTCGTAGTAGCACAGGTCCGACATGGCTTTGCCAAGTTGATCGTGCTCCTGACAAATGCTGGCAGTGCGGATTGCGGAAGAGGTAGTGCCGACAGCCTCACTGGGGTTCGAAGTCGGATTTCTGCTCTCAGAAGTCCAGCTTAACCATATTCCTTGGGTCTATCCCATTGCCAGGGCCCAGTGGATGATGGTTAGGTTGGCCGACATCTCTAAGCTCGTGATAATAAGTTGTTCACTGAAGGCTCTACGTGCTCTGCAGGTGATTCAAATGGCCTTTGAAGGTTGGAAAACACTGGTCTCCACGGAAAACAGGAGAGTGCCACGAGGGGATGCAATGCGTCGGCGCGAGACTGACCCTAGGGATCCAGTCGTACCTTCTCAGGTACGGTGATTGGAGACTATGTTTACAGGAAACCAGCCAATATCGCCCACCTTTTCACTTGAGCCAAAGATCGATGGTCGAGAGATATATAGTACACAGTATACGTGGAACACTTAGTAAAAACACCCCCGCGGCGCGAAGCGGCTTTGCCGCGGTGCACCGAAGAGGAAGTCGTTCAGTGTCCACGTATCAACCTCAGGCGGCGATGAAATCAAACCGCTCTACGACCCTCGAACTACTGCTTGCGAATGAGGCATGTCGGCACGAATGCAATCAAACTCCTACTTAACAATGCAAAACGAAAGCAAAATTGAGATAATCGATCACTTTTCACTGACGCGGAGCATGCGACAAGTCTTCGCCTGAGCAGCTGTGGCAATTGACCTCAAAAATTGCGATAAGCAATGAGGTTTCTCACTAGAACAACGGCTATGCCTTCCGGCACGCTCGTCTCACTGGGAACTCTTACCGTTCCATACTCGAGAAAAACGTACACAGATTGCACAAACCATTGAATTAAATGCAAAGTGAGCTGATTGAAGGGTTTACGGCAGAGCGTTCCCGCTCGCTTCGTAGGGACTTTGAAGGTATCACACCAACGAATTTGACTTCCGGCGTGACCTTCCGGTCCGCATGGCGAGACGATATTCTCTGCTTCAATCTCCCTTCTCTTCATGGCTTTTCAGCGGTTCCACCAGCCTCCCTTGGACGAGGACCACCAGTCTGAGGAAGATGACGAGGCAGCCTCACTCTGCCATGAGGATCGCCCGGAGCGGTTCCAATCCCATGAACCGGAGCCCCAGGAACCTCCCCATCCTTGGTTCCAGCTGCTTTGCCAGCCTCCTTGATACTGGCTCTTCCCCTTGCCTTTGCCCTTGCCCTTGTTGCGACCCTTTGCTTCTGGACAGTCGCGGGCACGATGGTCGGGCGAGCTGCACTCATAGCAGAGCTTGGCGTCTTTCCCGACTCCCTTTGAGCGTGGGTCGAAGGCCGTCTTCGTGCTCTCCTTTGCAGTGGAGCGCCGCTCGGTGAGCTTCACCTCTGGAAACCGCCCCGAAAAGATCGTTGTATCGGAGTACTCGGTTCCCTCGCAGGCCCGTGGCCAATTGCGTTCAGCAAACTCCACCAAGTCGCTCAGGATCTGCACGGCGTCGCCTTCCGGCACGCACTCCAGGCTTCCCCATCCCTCTACAGCAACAACAGGATCGTTGCGCGTGCGGGCCAGCGAGCACCACATCGAAAACTGCTTCAAGTTGAAGAAACGATTGTGGTGACACACAAACGATTCGTCTTCGATCGACATGGCATCGTTCGGATCCCTGGCAATGGTGGGGATAAAGCATAACTTGGAGTGGTGCTCCCTTTCTTGGTCGTCTAGGGCCCTCTTCCGCTCGAGAGCGCTTCGACCAGGGTTGGCAAAGATCGCTCGTGCAAGTCGGTGAAGAAAGGTGAGTGACCCTGACGTGAGCTGCGTTGTTGCACAGTTATAGGCAAACAACGGGTCAACCTCAAGTCGCTTCGTCGGTCCGGGCAATCCCAGCTGCTTCGCCTTCCTGACGTAGTTGACGGCCAATCTCTTGATTAGGCCGAAGGCCGATTTGGCGCCGCGCTGCTGTTCGCCCTTTGACGTGTCTTTGACGACGTTCGCCTTGCGAAAGGATCTTGTTGAAAGCTGATCCAAGGCGACGACGGACTCGTTGAGGTTGGCCGTCTCTTCCATCCGGGCAAGTTCACTGGCCGATCGGGCGTCGGACCAGACCTGCAAGTCTTGTCGACAGTAGTCGCATTTGTGCTGGCCATCAAAGTGTTTTGTCGCACACAAGGGTGATGGGCATACCCGCTTGGGGATCTGGACAATCTCATTCGCCATCAGATCTTCGTCCGTGATGTCGCGAAACTTTCCTTTGCCCTTGCCCTTCTTGCCCTTTGACTTGCCCTTTGATTTGCCCTTTCCTGCCCAGCCAGACATCTCCTCATTGATGATAATGCACACTTGTCCCAGCATAAAGCCGGTAAGCTCTGGCGGCGGACCCTCCCGGGACGCTTGGCTCTGAGTCTGGGCAACCTCATCGGTAATGCCCGTCATCTTGACTGCGCCTCGCATCAGGTTGATCTGGCCTACCTTGACGTGCTGCTGATTCTGGCGGGCATTGTTCAGCATGTAGTTCCGGGCTTCAGCCAGCTTGCTCAATCGGAACTGTGGATCGTCAGTGGAATGGCTCTTCATTTCTTCATGGTACATCTGTCGCATCTTGGCGTACGCCCTGTTAAACCAGACAAACTGGTTGTTTCGGGCATCGTACGCGTACATCAGTGCGGAGTTCGGAACCCAGTCCAGACAGAGAATGCTCTTCCGTGTTGCAAAGACTCGGCAACCATGTTGCATCACTAGCTCTGTGTCAAACGCTAGGTAAATGGGTTGTCCGGCTCGCGTTCCCGCAAGCTTTCTCATCTGGGCCTTCCAAGGCGGGCACGTCGTGAAGTAATTATGAGCTCGGCCCGTCTTCTTTGGAAAACCACCAGGGATGAGACCGGAGGTGATGATCCCCCTCCATAGCTGCGCGGTCACACGAGTGGTAAAGTACCCTTGGCAATGACGACAGATACTCCTGGTCAGGCATCATGTTCATCCGTGGAAGCTTGCCCTCATCGACCATTTTCGGCACATAATCGGGGTCGAGCGAATAGACACGCTTGATGAAGTTGGCGTGTCCCAATCGGTCAGTGACCCACCGGTTGTGGCCTTGCACGGCCTTGATACCGACTGGTTCGTACGGCAGACCTTTCCAGGTCGCTCCCACAGTGTTGCCTGGCAGGCGAGTCTTCAACTCGAATCTTTCGTCTTCCGAATTCTTGATCACCAGAAGCACCTCCCACTCCCTGCATTGGTTGATGCGTTTCTGGAGGCATTCCATGAGCGGCTTCCAGGGCTTGCTGCCGTCCTCCTCGAAGTCAGGCGTGTCGAACCCTTTCAGTTCCTTATGGCCGCGGAGGTGAGATGTGAGCTCTTGAGAGATCCACCTAAAACGGCCCCACTCAACATCCCGGCGCGGGATTTGGCGGAGGTGCTCAGGACCGAGCCACACCTCTTGTCCCGGAAGCTGGGCAAACTCGAGATCCTTACTGGGATCTTCGGTGTCGATTGCCCGCAAGGTGGGTTCCAAATTAGGACGTCTCACCTGCTTCGGCTGCGCCTTGGGCCGGATTGCAAGCCGCTCTGCTTCTTTCCACTTCTTGAATCGAGCGTCCCGCTCCTCCTGCTCCCCTTTCACCACGATTCGGCCGGTTTTCTTGTCGACGTAGCTCAGTTCCTCGTAGTAAGCTTTGGCCTCAGCAGCGGCCTTTTCCAGCTCTGTGAGTTCTGGCTTCGGCGAACCTTCCGGCACGCTTGGCTTTCGGGGTTTCGTGGCAGAGGGCTTCTCCTTAGGCTTTCCCTTCTCCGCGTCATCCTCACCGGTCAGGTCGATCTCCATCGGCTGGGCATCACTGGTCTTGGTCTTCTCTTCATCAGCCCGGCCTGGAGTCTCCTCGGCTTCTCCGCTTTGGGTTTCCTCAGCGGGTCGGTCGACATCTTTCTGGCCTTCGGGAGCGGCTTCTTCATCCGCCTTCTTCGGCTCCCCTTGGGCCTTTTCGTCGACCTCCATGGGGTCGGGCTCCCCAGCCTCACTCTTCTCTGAACCCCCCGCGGACTTGAAGGCCGCCGAGTCTGCATCGTCGTCATCCCAATCCGGTTGTTCTTCTACAGGATTCTCAATGATGACGTACGATTTCTCCGTGCAGACGTCAGCGAAGGCTTCGTCATCTGCCTTCTCTGCTTCAGTCTTTGGTGGGGGAAGCGGTACTTCGACCGGTGGAATAAAGGGGCTTGCATTCGGATCCTTCTTTTTCTCTGCAAGGGCCCGTTCCCACTCATCGAAGTCCAGAGTATCTCCTTCTTCTGGAACTTCCCAAGGGAACTCTTCTACCAGTTCTTGGCCCCCCATTGGAGTTGGTAGATCCGGATATAGCTCCTTCATTATAATGCGGTGCCGTTCATCGTGCTCCCCTTCGTCCAACTCCTCGGCATCGATGGGTAACCGCAGCAGGTCTTCCGGAGCCATCTCTTGGGCCAGCACGTGGCTGGTATCTTTCAAGCGAACGACGTCGGCCTCCTCCTCTTGCAGCAACCAATTCATTATCTCTTGGTCAACTGCATCCACAATGTCTGCCGGGCTCAATTCGATTTGATCCACGGCTCGCCTTCCGGCAAGCATCAAGTCAGCAGCAGCTCGAACCTCCGAGATGGTAGGGTACCTGAACATGAACTCCATCAACTGCAAATCCCCCTCGCCCTCACCGGCGCTCAGGATGGTCAACGGTTCAATCTCGTCCTTGTACTGCATCACTTGGAAGGTCCGAAATGCGCTGGTCGCAATGCCGGAGTAAACGGCGACGCCCCACTTGAGGGTCTGGTAGCACTCGATCATGTGGAACTGATCGTGGTAGTAGACCTGGTTCGTCATTGTGCTTGGATCGACACACGGTACCCCTCTCGAAATCAGGTATCCGTAGTGCTCCCCGAGATGCCGGTTGTATGCTTTCGGCAAGTCGTAGTCCTCGGCCGGGGCGTTTCCGACAACCACCAATTCAGCAACGTCGGATCGGGCTCGCAGCTCAATAAGCCGCT